GGACAGGACACCCTATGGTAGCAGAGCCAGGGATGTCAGACAGCAGGCGCTGCCTCTCTTCCCAGTTTCCCCCAGTGTCGATGTGAGCGCTAACCAGACGAGCCCCGTTGAGGTGAACAAGACCATGAAATTCACCTGCCACGTGAAGAGGTTTTACCCAGCAACTGTGGCTGTTTCCTGGCTGGAGAACGGGGTGAAGATAAAGGAGGAGAAGGACTCCCAGCCGCCGGTGTTCCAGCAGGGCTTGTTGGAGCTGAGGAGCCAGCTGGAGGTGCAAGCGACAGAAGAGAAGAATGGGTCCATGTTCACCTGCCTGGTGGTCCACGATGCTCAGGCCCCTGTCAACCAGTCAGCCATCCTGTGGATCGCCAGCCCGGACCAGCAGGGACTGAGCAAGGGGTCCCAGATATACAGTGGTGCGTCAGAGCTGCTGGGTGGGGTGCCTGCCAGGGTGGCTGTATGGTGTAACCCCCTGAGAAAGCTCAAAGTCCCAGAAAAGTCTCCTTGTGGGGGGATGGAATGCCTGTCTTTGAGCTCTGGTTGCTCACATCCTTTTTCCCCACTGCAGGTGTGAACTTTTCGTCCAGCCTCCTCCTCCTGTGGCTTGGCATGCTGCTGGAGAAGGGAATCCTCGGTGGGCTCCTCTTCTTTCTCTTCAAGCGCACAAAGAGGGAAGCTCTGGGGACACTGCCCTGTCCTGCTCCGTGTCAGTCCCCGGTTCCTCAAGGCGGGTCCCAGGGCTTGGCCACCACCAGCCATGTCATATGAACCTGGAAACAAACGCACCAGGATGCAGAGGCTGCCCTGGGTTGCTCTCTGCCGTCAGTCCTGGGCCCCTGGCCCTGCCTGTGGCCCATCTACCTGCCCTCCTTCAGGGCTCGGTGCTGCCCATCCCAGAACCTGGTGCCCGGTGCCTTGTGCTCAGCACTGCCCACCCTGGTCCCCCGCACCCAGTTACCGGTGCTTGATTCCCGGTACCCAGTTCCTGGAGCTCGGCACCCAGTGCTCAGTGCCCAGTTCCCAGTGCTCGGTGCTTGATTCCCAGGGCTCAGTGTAAGAAATAAATGAAACGGTTTTATTACAAGCAGGGTTTCCATGACTGCCTCATGATGAGGAGTTTGTGATCAGGGGTGTTCTGCAGTTGCCTGTGGCTGCAGTTCTGTTGCAGCCATGACCTGTTAATAGTTGTGATCATGTTACTGTTGCTTACTATTGCTGTATAAAGGCAAACCGAGCAGCCTGTAAGGCAATGAGACCAGCCAGAGTTCATTGCCAAGGGACCACGAGGCCGCGACAGGGAAACAATGTGATAGGTTGGTTAAAACAACCAATGGACTGGAAAAGTGTGAGCCCACCCTGAGAGACCCAATCGGGCTCAAGAAAAAGACCATATTGCCTTTTAAGGAAGAAAGGGAGCAGAGCTGAGCATGGGAGGAACGAGGGAGCAGTTATGCAAATCAAGAGACCTTAAAAAGAACTGCCCCCCCCCATCTCAGGTGTGCTCTCAGGCCCTGGCACGAGGCAGACCCGACCGCACTCAGCGCGCGCTGAAAATAAAGTTCTTTGTTTCACTTTATTTGGCCGTCTTCGAAATTTTAATTTGAGATATTTCTCACATCAGTGCCCAGTTCTCAGTGCCCGGTTCCCGGTGCTCAGTGCAGCCCATCCCTGTTCCCTATTCCCCGGTTCCCCGTTCCCGGCGCACCGGCTCCTCCCGTCCGCCAGGGGCCGCTGTGGACGGGCCGGGCCCCGCGCGGCTCCGCGGGTGTTTCCGGGGGGGCGGGTTCGGCGGCGCACGCCGGGGGCGGGGCGGGGCGGCCCGGCGGGGTTTGGGCGCTGCACCGCGGCAAGATGGCGGACAGGGAGGAGGCGCTGAGGGAGTTCGTGGCCGTGACCGGCGCCGAGGAGGAGCGGGCGCGGTTCTTCCTCGAGTCCGCGGGCTGGGACCTCCAGGTAGCTCCGCCGCCGCCCTCCACCCGCCCCGCCGCGGGGCAGCGCTGGGCCGCAGCTCGGTGTCCCGCGGGCTCGAGCCTCGTCCCCGCCCTTGCGAAGGGACCGTGGCCTGGCTGGGGCCGAGGCCCGTCCCGCTTGTCTCGTTGGTTTTCTCTCGCGCGGCGAGGTCCGGGGTGTGCCGGGTTTTGTGAGGGTTCTCCTGGAGTGCTGGCGAGGTTGTCGGCGCTGTGCTGGTGGTGCTGCCGGCTTTGACCCGAGCGCCCCCAAACCGAGGGGGAGCCCTCCACCACTCCGACCTGCCCCTGTGGTCCTCGAAGGATCGGGCTGTGTTAAACTCTGCTTGTGGGTGGCGCAAAAGCAGTTGTTTCAGAGCAGGAGTTTTGGCACGGCCCTTGTGCCAGCGCTGCAGGAGAAGGGCCCTGGCGTTCCCTGGCAGGGAAGGTGACATCCCTGCGGCAGCGAGTGCCCTGCCGTGACACAGCCAGACAGCAGAGCCTGCCAAGGCCCTGTCTTTGCCAGGACCTGTAACGGGGGAAGTCTTTGGTGAGAGGTGCCTTGAGAGGTCCAGCGTGGCAGAGGGTTCAGCTGAGATGTTTTTTGTGTGTGTTTCTGCCGTTCCTCTGGAGGGTTTGCCCCCATCCTGACGAGCTCTGCTGGTTTCCCTTTGCAGATTGCCCTCGCCAGTTTCTACGAGGACGGGGGTGATGAGGACATCCTGACCCTTCCCCAGCCCGCCCCCAGCTCCATATCCAGAGGCACTGGAGCCAGGTGAGGAGGGAGCTCCAGCTCCGTCCTGGAAACCTGGCAGTGGAAACTCTCTCTAAAAGCACTGATGTGTGTTAGTTTTCAGGAGTAGCTCTGTGTTCAGATTTGCTTCGCCTTGCTTGGCTCTCTAGAAGTTGTGAAAGCCTGAGCATTTGCACATCACCAGCACGGGTGTTGTTGCACAACTGAGCCAGAGATCAGTTAGGAAAAGTTGGCTCATTGCTCAGGAAAAACTTGATTTGTCTTTTGGGGTTAAAGACAGTCAGTTGGTGACACTTCCATTGGAGCAGACCATGTCTGTGCGGGAAGAACATTCTCTGATTTTGCGTGAGGCCTGAGCTGATCAAGTCAAATGTTTTATGAAAAGCAAAAGTGAGTTTTGCCTCACCAAATCCCTGCGAAATCAGGGAATGCTGCCCAGTTTCAAAGAGGAGTTGCTGGCTGTGTCTTGAAGGAAAAATGCTCTTGGGTCGGGCGTTGGTGAACAGAGTCCACCTTGCAGTCCACCTGTTTCAGTGTGGAATGTTTTCAGCTGGGAATGTTTTAGTTTGGGCCGTGTCCCAATGTTCCTCTTGCTGGATCTTTGCAGTGACCATCGAGTAACCTCGTTCAGAGACCTCGTGCACGCGCAGGAGGAGGATGATGAAGAGGAGGAGGGACAGCGGTAAGTTTCCAGCTGAAGACTCAAACCCTGGGTGTTAATCCTGGCCCTTTTGGGAGGACTTGCTGCTTGTGTGCAGTTTTTTTTAAGATCAGGTTTGTGTCTCTGTGACATTCCTGTAGTGAAGCATCTGGGGTTTGACAGGCGTCTGTCAGTGCAAAGCCTGTGCACAAGCAGATGCTCAGCTGTGTAAGCACCAGCTCTCAGCACTGAGAGAAAGCCTAAAGCAGGGTGTGGAAGAACAGAAAACAGCCCAGATCCTCATTTGTGTCCATAGAGAACGGAAATGTGGGAATAGTGCAGGGTTTGGTTTTCTGCTTGGGGTGCGTGGTTTTATTTTGGTTAGGGTTTTGGTTTTGGGTTGTTTCATTTGGGTTTTTTGAAGTGCTGCTTAAGGGTAATGTACTGGAGTGTGGAAGTGGAAAGAAAAACAGAAACATAGAATACTAATGGCAAAGTCTCCTGCGATGTCAGCTGTAAGTAGTTAAATACCCTTAAGGTTGACAGGCAAGGTAAATGGAATGGAACTGATGTCTCTGAAGGGGTGGCTCAGCCTGGGTGGACCATGGTCTGCAGGCAGCTGGGAGCTCGCTCTGTGTGTGTTACAAGCCATCTGGAAGCTAATAAACCCAATCTTCCAGAAGTGCTTAATTGCACTTCACTGGCTGTGCATCCATTGCTTCCAGTTGAAATCCATCCTTTGTGTGGCATGACCGTGTGCCTTCCCTCGGAATTCCAGATGGATGTTTCTCTGACGGGTCAGAGGCTTGCTGGAAGCCTTGTTCAGCCGGGTGATTCAGCTGGTACTGGTGTTTAAAGCTGGGCTTGTCCCTCTGGGCTGTTCCTCTTGCCAGGTCTGAGACTCGTGGCTGCTTTATTGCTATTGATCCACAGGTAATTTTACAGTAATTGACGTGAAAAGGAGGTCTCTGCAGTACAGGAGCTTGCACGTGGCTGCAGTGGGAGACACACTGGTGGTATCCAGTATTTGTGATTCCAAGGTGTTTCACTGAGCTGCACAAACACGAACCAAGTGAATCCTGGTGTCAGAGCGCTGGGTCCTGGAGAGGCAGCGGGTCCAGTCTGACCAGGAGCCGGGTGCTTTCCGTTAGGTTCTATGCCGGTGGCTCGGAGAGGAGTGGCCAGCAGATCGTGGGCCCTCCAAGGAAGAAGAGTCCCAACGAGCTGGTGGAGGATCTGTTCAAGGGAGCCAAGGAGCACGGCGCGGTGGCCGTCGATCGGACGACCAAGGGCGGTGGAGAGACGAGCAAACCGAAGGTGAGGAGGGCTGAGTTCTTCATTGTGTTCCCCGTTTCGGTTAAGGCTCCACCGTGCCAGCTGTTTGGCGCTGAGGAGTCCTGGAATTACCTCGACAGCCAGATCTGGACTCCTCTCTCAGTGCAGCTCCATTTGGTGTGTCGCAGTGGCAGGAGAAGCCGCTCTCCTTGTGCCGTATTTATGAACTTGCTGAAGCTGTCACTGTGCCTGCAGGGCTGATGCCACAGAGCCCCTGTTCATCCACAGGGGTGGTGGGGAAGGGGAGCAGCTCTCTTGGGTTTGTGTGGTTCTGTAACCCTTTGCCTGCCTCTCTCTTCCAGCCTTTTGCAGGGGGAGGGTATCGCCTTGGGGCTACTCCCGAGGAGGAGTCGGCTTACGTGGCAGGAGAGAGGAGGCAGAACTCTGCTCAGGATGTGAGTATGTCTGCATAAGTTTGTAGATGTCACCCAAGGGATTTCTTCTGCTCTAGCTACAGAGCTTGCCAGCCCTGAGAGTTACAAAGCTTGATAAAAATTCACAAGGACAGAAATACGGTAAATCCTGCTTCCTGTGGGATTTCCCTGTAGAAAATAATAGATGATTTGGTCTTGGGTAAGCAGTTTTCTGATGAACTTTTAATTAAGAATATGAGTGTTCCTTAGAAGTAAAATAATGTGCAGAGAGCACTGGGCAATTAACTTTCCTTTATCCACTGGAGAGCTGTGGAGCTGCCAGCATCAGTGTGAGGTTCCCTCGTGTTTGCTTTATGGCCAAACGTGCTTGTAGGCCGTGGTGGGAGCCTGGTTTAGGCTCCTCACCCAGCACACTCCTGGCTCTTCGGCCATATTTGCCTAAAAGGGGACTGTGGTTCCACCTTCTAGGAACTGACACCTGACCATTACATACACAGCCAGTGCTTTGGGATTTTTCCTTCAGCCCAGAGGGGCTGGAGTGTTTTCTGCACCTGGAAGTTCCTCTGCCCAGTAGGAACTTTTCATTTTGCATCGATTTTTTTGTTGTTGTTGTTGTCACCAAGATGGTCAGTGAGGCCAATTGTTGTTGTTTGGGGCTGCTGCAGGTGCACGTTGTACTGAAGCTCTGGAAGAGTGGATTCAGTCTGGATAGTGGAGAGCTGAGGAGCTACCAGGATCCCTCCAATGCCCAGTTCCTCGATGATATCCGGAGGGGGTACGTAGTGAGAGCTGCTTTCTGAAACAGAAGTGTTTCTGAAACAGAAGTGTTTCTGGGATCCAGGCTGCTGAATCCGTGGCATGTTTCACCTGAGCTTTCTTGTAAGAAATTAATTGCTCTTCATATGGAACCTTTGGTTCAGGTAAACAGGGAGCAGCTTTGGTTTGTGTGGGGCCTCGAGAGTGTGAAGTGAACAAACAGGTGTTCATATTTGGGGTGAGATTTCTGATGCATCACGTCACTCCAGGTGACAGGGAAAAGTAGCCTTTAATTTGTGTGTGTCAGTGGGGGAGGTGTGCATCTGCCCTGTTAATTAAGCAAGGGGCACACTGTGATTCCTTGAAATTCCAAAGGTCTGGGGCTCTTTCTCCACACTTTTCCTGCCTTGCTGCTTCGGGCAGCTGCCTCAGGACTCTGTCCTTGCAGGGAAGTCCCGGCTGAGCTGCGCAGGTTAGCACGGGGAGGACAGGTGAACCTGGATATGGAGGATCACCGGGATGAGGAGTATGTGAAACCTAAAAGTGTCTTCAAGGCTTTTACTGGAGAAGGACAGAAGCTGGGCAGGTGAGAAGACAGCGGTGCTGGTTTGCTCTGTGTGTGATGGGAGAGAGCCTTGCCAGGTGTAGCCTGCTGATTCATCTTTCTGAAGGAAAGGCACTGGGTGCCTGTGGGATGGGAGGTGTTCCTCTAAGGAAACGAGGCTCCCTGGCGTGTACTGTGAGGTGGCTCAGCCTCTCCCTGGCAGGAGGCAGGTCCCTGGTTTGGAAGCCCCCTCGGAGGGGGGTCCAAATCACGCTGCCCCTGTTCCCATGGGGTGTAGAGACCCGTGACGTGGTACCAAAGGAGATGGTAGAGGTGAACTTCTGGACAAGTTCCTGCTGATTGGCTGGCTAATAAATTCTCACTTCCAGCTTGTTTGGTGTCTCCTGTCTAGGGAGCCCTGGTAGTTGGGTCTGACAGGTGGTGAGCTGGCTGCCTGATCCTGGCTCCGTGCAGGCAGGTGAGTTTGGTTTTTAACAGCTCCCCTTGTGTCCCCCTGTTGCCAGCACCGTGCCCCAGGTGATGGGCACCAGCACACCAGCCCAGCAGGCAGAGAATGAAGCCAAAGCCAGTTCTGCCATCGCGATTGATGAGTCGGAGCCCGTCACCAACATCCAGATCCGGCTCGCCGACGGTGGGAGGCTGGTCCAGAAGTTTAACCACAGTCACAGGTATGAGCAGGGAACACCAGGAAGGCCTGCATGCCACTGCAGACTGGGCACAGGTGGAGCAGGTGATAAAAATCCTGGTTGCCTGCCAGAGGGAGCTCCAGGGATCCTTCTGTATAGATGAGTAGAATTATTGAGGGGGGTTTAAGGTGGTTGTTAACTGTTGGATAGGATTTGCTTTCCAAATAGGGGTAGATTACAGCCAGTGGTACCACACCTGGGAGGGTTAGTGTTATCAGCAACACTTTCCTTCATGTCACCTGTAGAAAACTGAATCTCTTCTAAGGGTTTTAGAAACTGTCAGATAATTAGGAACCTGTTCAGTTATTTTGCCTCAGTTCTAGACTTCTGTATGGGACTGTTCCCTGGGCTGATTGGAGCACGAAAGGATGTTCTTACCACAGTTCTGTTCACTTAGATGAGCAGAGCTGGCTTAGATACCCCACTGCTTCCTTAGACTGCTCTCCTAAAGTCCTTCCCACCTCCCTGATTTGAGGTTTGTATTCATTCCTCCAATTTCTATAAGAGTCAAGCCTAGGGCAAAAAGTTACAAAAGCCTTTGTCTATGATTGAGTTCAGGAAGTTGATCCCGTGTCACTGTGTGGCTGCTTGGGGAAGCCGAAATCCTCTGGGTTCTGCTGTGTATGACAAGCTCAGTCACTCAGAGCAGCAAGTGTCAAACAGTTCGTTAAATCTGTTCGTCATTAAGGGTTTGGAAGCTTTCAGTTTCGAATAACCTCCTGACAACACAGACAAAGAACACTGAGCTGAATCTGTAGCCCCTAAAGCAGCTGCTGTTATTTCACTAAACTGGAGCCCACAGAGGAGCAGGTTAAATCAGAATAGTCTGGCTGTGGCCTGTGACGTGAGCTGGGAAGCAAACGCAGCACAGGCTGCACACCTTTGTTGGAACCATTCAGTAACAGGATCACCCTTGCTGTGTGTTTGATCCCTCCGCACAGGATCCGTGACATCCGGCTCTTCATAGTAGATGCTCGGCCAGCGATGGCTGCCACCAGTTTCGTCCTCATGACCACCTTCCCCAACAAAGAGCTGACTGACGAGAACCAGACCCTGAAGGAAGCCAACCTGCTCAACGCTGTCATCGTCCAGCGGTTGACATAGAGGACCCCAGCTGTGGCCACACGCCCGGCGCGGCGCACGGGGCCCGTGCAGTGCCTCTCGGGCCCACACCCGCTCCTAGCTCTGGGTTCTTAGGTCTTGGTTGGACTTTTTTTCTCTTTAGTTGCATTTCCCATGGGGTTATTATTTTTTTTTTTTTTTGTGATGATGATCAGTGGACTTTAAAATAAATAAAACGAAACGAATCCGTTTTTAAAGGAGCTGCAGCCTATTGTGCCCCAGATTCTCCCAGGAGAGTTCAGTTACCTTTGTGGATTGAGTTACTGCACTCAGAGAGGTGGAAGGAGAGGGGGAAGGGAGCTCCAGGGAGCAGTTTCTGTCCGTTTACTGCTCACCACAGTCCTTTTGCTCTTCCCTCCAGGGGGACTGCTGCAAAATACTTTCTTTTTTTTCCCGGCACATTAAATATAAACTATCCGAGAATGGGTGATCTGATTGTCAGAGTAATGGTTACACTCCTGTAAAAGCCTTATGGGGGATGTCTTTGTGAAAGAGCTCAGTGTGGGGAGAACTCCCAACATCTGAGGTGCAAGGTTTAACACTTCCCAGGCTTTTCTGGAGAGAAAGCCCTGGCTTTCCTTCCCTCAAGCTGAACTCTTGGGGCGTTTTTTGCAGTCCCCACCTGCTCTGCCTGTGCTTTCCCTGGCAGGCCAGACTGGCTGCAGGTTTAATTTTGCTGTATTGCATTTCTCTGAGAAACCCTGCTGCTGACTTCTTCTTTCCAAGAAGGTACAAAGCTGAATCAGCTTGAAGTGACTGGAAGTAAAAGACAAAACAGAGTCTAACTGGAAAGCAAGTTGTATCCTAAGAGGTGAATTACTGAGACGATGACAACAGCTCAGGTGGGAAAACTCAAGGCTGTAGTACCTTTTGATGTATTTCCTTTCCTCTGCTGAGGACTAACATAGCTGAACACTTGGAGTTCTCCAGCTTTGGTCTGTTCTCTTTGTGTTTTGGGCTCAGGTCTCCGTATCTCTCTCTCCTTTGAACAGAATCCTGTGGGTCAATTCCTTATGCCCAGACACGAGGCACAGGTAGCGCTGCTGTAGCGTCACGTGCGCGAGTTGCTGTGGAAAACTCCGCTGCTTCTGTCCCCATCCTGGGCTTGCAAGCAGAGCCCAGAGCTGAGCTGGGAGCAGGGTCCCTGGGAGAGGCCACGCTGCTGCCCTGCCGAGGGCTGGAGCTCTCCCTCCCCATCCCGAGCCCAGTGCTGTGAGTCCACCCTTCCCCAGCACTGGGAAGCTTCCAGATCCTCACCTTGGTGCGAGCTCAGGGTGCAGGGAAGGGGCTGGCAGGTTGGGCAGGTTCAGCGTGAGGAACTGGCTTGGCTGCCTGCAGTAATGAACCAGCGGGAGCAGAGAGCAGCCCTCGGCAAGGGCATTCTTACAGCAGTTTCTCGACTGAGAGCTGAATTAACTCGCATTTTTCTTTACTGACTGGACGTAACAATGTGCGTAACAACCGATTTGTAAATTATTGTGGAAATTGCCATTAAAAGCCCGCAAAACAGGAAAAGCAGCGTTTGACCCTTTCTAACAGTGCCTGCCATCTGGCCTCGGGTTTTGGATGATGTTTGTGAGAGTGTCTCATCTTCGGGTTGCTCTGTGAGCGGGCATCCCATGCTGAGCTGTCTTCAGCTAAATGAGGTTCAACCTCTCAGCAGCATTTTTAATGATTTATTTTTTTATGACAGGTGAGCTTGGGGTTCACCTGCCTGCATCACTTGCTGGTGTTTGTTATGACCAGTGAGTAACCTGTGAGAACTGAGAACAGGGGATTTCCCTCGGAGCTAAACGGAGTCACAGCTGCCTTGTGAGAAGTTACTCAGAGGAGTTCTTCTACCCTGATCTTCACACGTGTCATTCTAGGGACTTGGGACAACGTTTTCTGGAATGCTGGATAGGATGCAGAGCACAGGTGGCCGGCTGGCGTCTGTGGTCTTTGGATGAACAGGCCACACTGGTGCCCACAAATTCAGGGAGTGTTGGCAGCCAGGCAGCAACTCCTCCCGCTGCTGATCCCAAGGCTTTGCTGTGCAGGTTCTGCTCACTGATGGGAACTTTCACATCCAAGTTTGCTGCCAGCTCTCTCCTTGCCGGTGGGAGGGAAAGGGGATAAATCCAGAGGCTCAGGGGCGTTCCTTTGCCAGGAAGAGGGAATTTTCCCTGGAGCCGGAGGGTGGCAGTGCTGCAGAGAAGCCGCTCTCCTTTGAAGTCACGCTAATTAATGGGGAAGGGGTAACACACCAGAACAGAAAAAGGGGATGGTGAAAAGACACTCCTTGATTTGGTAAAAAAAAAAAAAAAAAAATCCCCTTCCTTGTCACTTGTGCAGCCCCATCCCTGGAAATGTTCACGACCAGGCTGGATGGGGCTTGAAACAACCTGGTCTAGTGGAAGGTGTCCCTGCCCAGGGCAGGGGTTTGGAACAAGATGAGCTTTAAGGTCCCTTCCAAGCTGAACCAGTCCTTGATTCCACGATTCTATTTGGTGGTGTGCCCTTGCAGTACTTAAATCCTTATTTCTGATACTCCTGTAGTTTTTGATAGTTGTTACTGCGTTTATTTGACTTTCCCTCTAGTAAAATCTCTTTGTCATTCCATTTCTGTGTTCTAACAGTTATAGGCTGAGATTGGGCTTTTCTAAAACTGGCATTTTTGCTCACAAAGAAGTGTCTTTGTTCTCCTTTTCCTGGAGAAGTAGTTCCCTGCAAAATTTCCTTTTTTTTTCCTCAGATCATTCCCCCACGAGGAAGTTGTTCCTGTATTCCTGGCCCTTCACACCCCATTGTTAAGACTGCTCCTCATCTCATGTGAAAACTCACTTCTTTTCAATTTTCAGGACTGTGCTGTCCTATCTGGAGCTCGTGTCTTTTGCTGTATCTGACTGTTTTTCTCCAAGTGCTGTATTTTAACAGTTTTCCCTCCCTCAGATGGGTAATTGTAGGACTTCCTGGGATTTTTTATCTTCGTATGCAGTTCTTTGTTTCCTCTTTTTTCACATGTCCTCGTTGCTAAGGTTGAGTTCCTGTGTTTTCTGATAGCATTCACACCATTTCCTGGGAACTTTACCTCCTCCTCTCTAATGCTGCTTTTGCTGTGGGATGTTTCCTGGTCCATGTTTCTGTTTACTGTCAAACCAAGGGAGCAACTCACTGCAGGTGCTCGCCAGAATCCTGCAGGATTCCACAGAAATGGGAGGTGGAATCCTTTCTAGTTACCTGTGAGCAATTTTTCCAAAGAAGTCCCGTGTTTCCCAGTTACACAATTCTACAGAGGGTAGTACAATACTAATGATGCCACAGGCCCTCATCATAGGCAGCTGAACAGTTCTGGTGTCAAGCGCCTCTCGATTTACTAATTTATCATTTTGTGACTTATTTACTACATTCCTAAATGCTTATCTTATTTGCTGTTCTGTCTTGTCTGCACTGAGGCCTGTCTATCCCAGCGCTGGGAGTTCCTGAATGGATTCCAGATGTTCTTATTTACTCAGGTACACTTCGTGACTCCTCCTTAAATTAACTCTTTAATGGCTTGTGGGTCCTACAACAGCTCCTCTGCTGCCTCACCCATCTCGGTGGCAACTGAAGTCCTGGCTCCTGTTCCACCAAGAGAAGGCAGCTGTGCTGAAGGGAATCTGGTTTGATTTCAGGCCTTGGCACACGGTGTCACTTGAAAGCTCACTGTTTGCAGCAAGTCACCCAGCGTACAGCAGTGATTAACAGTGGGATTGGTGCTTTTCACCAAAATCTGCCTTTTCCAGCACCAAGCTGAGCCCTGCTGTCACGCAGAGGAGGGCTGTGAGCTCCCCGTGCTGCTCTGGCAATGGTGACATCCTGCCGAGCCCCAGCAGGTGATGCTGCCTCCTGTGAGGCGCTGAGAGCACGGCAGAGGCTTTGGGAGGAGCCGAGCAGGGCAGAAATAAAGGCTCCCTGTGTCGGAGATAATTGTGCTCTGAATTAGCCAGGGAGCCAGAGCCACTCAGCTACTCCCGGGAGGTGACTGCTGGTCAGCCCTTGGCTTTCCTGTCTGTGAGCAGAAAATGCAGCTCAGTGCACCTGGGGAGTAAATGAGTGCCAAAGAGCCGGAGGATTAAGTGCTGAGTACAATTTCTGAAGTGCCTTGTGTCTGTCCAAATGTAATTGCGTGGTGAGTGGGTACAAAACGGCCTAGGGAAAAAAAAAAAATCAGGATTTGATATTTCCTTTTGAGTTTGCCCTTTCCCCTTGGGTGGGGAGAGATGTATTTTGCTTTCTTACAGAGATGTATGCCTAGATATGCTGGAGGAAGACAGTCATTTGAATCCCACTGCACTGGCTGTGGTCCAGTGTGAGTGATATTTGTCATCTGGGATGTCAATAAAACAGCAGTGAGGAGAGCTGCCACTGACTCAATCGCACTGTGGCTTATTAACCACGTTCTGACTCATCCAGGGAAATTTTGGTGGTTTAGATTAACCCCCACTGGACAAGGCAAGGCTGAGCTGAAGATGACACATTGTGATGAACTTTGCAGAAAGGGTGCTCACTTCCCCTTGAGTACCGGGGTGGTACAGAGACAACTAACACAGATTTAATGCTCCCAGTGGGAGCAGGGAGAGGGTTCTGCCTCTTCTCTCGTGCCCTGGTTGCTGCAGGCAAGTCAGAGATCGGGGCAGGATCTGCTTTTAAAGAGCTGCCCAGTGGGACCAGACATGCCAAACAGATGATTAGTGGGCAGAGTGACGGTGCCATCACTCCCTGCCAGCCTTTTCCTGTGCTTTCTGTCCTCTGAAGCCGATTTCTGCCTCTGCTTTGCTTAGCCCAGTGTTCATAGCAGTGCTGGCTGTGAGCTGTGAGCGCTGCTGCCTTGGGAACGCCGCTGCTCCCACACTGCCAGCGCCGAGGAACTGGGCTCCCACCGCCCTTCAGGCAGGAGCAATTCTTGGTTTGTGATGCTGAGACCGCTGGGTGCTCTGGGCTAGGAAGGGTCTGTGAAAAGGGATTGAAAAGCACGTTTCAGTATGGTTTCAGAATGGTTTCAGTACAGGGATATTGGGAAGAAATTCTTCCCTGTTAGGGTGGTGAGGCCCTGGCACAGGTTGCCCAGAGAAGCTGTGGCAGCCCCATCTCTAGAAGTGTCCAAGGCCAGGTTGGACAGGGCTTGGAGCAGCCCGGGATAGTGGAAGGTGTCCCTGCCCGTGGCAGAGGGATTGGAATG